TCCAGGAAGCGACATGCATTGAATGTGACAACCAACCCCGTTCTCCCCTTTACAAAGCAGAGCTGGTGTTCCATGGGAGCACAGCCAGCATGCTGAAGCATCTTAAGAGGAAACACCCCTGCAGTAGCAGTGGCGAACAGTATGTGTTGTTCAACTGGAGCTAGCTAGCTGCTGGCAAGCTAGTTCATGTTATGTTAGACAGCTAGCAAGCTAGCTTATCCAGTTCACAATTCATTTATCCAAGCTTTTTTTTGACAGGCTTAGCTAAGTGTATTTTCAATCTTTTAATGAGATATGTGAAGATATCATCAAATTGCTGCTGCTTTTCATTCAGCTAAATGGAATGTAACACAAACCCTTACTCTTTTCCTTTTATCTGTATGCAGATGTGTGTTTTTTATTTTGAATTATTTTTACATTTGATGTCCACTACTTTTAACTAAATTAATTTTCTCATTGAAAAAATAAGAAAATTGTCTTTGTTCATTCACATCTGCCAGATTCTCACTCTGTGGCCTGATCAGCCGTGCTGTGAATGAATGAATTCCACTTGCTCCTCAGCAGATTCAATACTTACTGGGCTAGAACCTTCCTCTCCTCCACGTGTTCAACCATGGCTGCCAGCCACTGCTCCTTCTGTCTTTGTTCATTCACATCTGCCAGATTCTTACTCTGTGGAATCTGGAGAGCCATTTTCATTCAGCTGTACAACCTTCCCTTGGTTTTCCAGGGACTAATTGAAATAAGGCCTTCATTGCGATCTCGTTGTAAGCACAAACATATTTAAGAATAATTGATTGGCTACTGAACTCACTTCCTCCAGTCGGGCTGACTTTTTCTTCTCCTTCTCCAGAACCTTTTGGGATTTGTTAGCAATCTCCTAGAGGCAAAGGAAGAGGAATATTTATTCTGTATTTACACGTTCAACTTAAAAATGCTTTGAATTGCCAATCCATCCTTCTTACCAGATTCTTGTCAGCGGCCATTTTATATCCTTCCACCTGGGGAAGAAACAAGCAACAATCAGCACTAAGATCTGATAGGTGATGTGTAACATTGAGGAAATTAGGCTTATCACAATAAATATATATGATGCAGAAATGGTTTCTGAATACTGGCATATAGGATTCTTTTGTTTTTCTGATAGCTCACATAAAGTCAACATTTTAATACCTATTACACTCCTATTAAAATTTGTTTTGAAACAGTGCTTGAAATGCTTTAAAACCTTCAGGATAAACCTTAAGACTCTGATTACAATCTAAATGGCCAACAATAACTGAGTATAAGCGGCAGTGCTTACAACGCCATTGAAATAGGAACTCGTCCTACCAGTGCCTTGAGCTTGCTTAGGCAGCACATATATAAAATTGGAACGATACAGAGAAGAATAGAATGGCCCCTGTGCAAGGATGACATGCAAATTTGTGAAGCGTTCCATATTGTTGTTCTTGGTTACCTTATGTAATAACTGTAGCAAACAACAGGGGTCATTTTAAGTGTAACCCTTTCTATACATGATAGCAGGAGCTCAAGTGTTGTTTGTCTGTGCATTGCACTCAGAGACCAGCGAATTTTCATGTCTTTGGGACCTGCATATGATGCAGCCACAACCACAGGCCAAACAATAGGGGTCATTTCAAGTGTAACCTTTTTCACACATGATGGTTGGATTTTCCTGCTCACAGAGCAACAGCTTGCCTCTTATGTATGACCCTAGCTACACACAATCATGGGATGTTCTCTCTTGTAGGCAAGAGCAGGATCTCAAACCTTGTCTGTCTATCCATTGCACTCAGAGAGCAGCATCTTGCCTAATTTTTACGCGCAAGGGATTTACACATAATACAACCCAAGCCATAAGCCGAACAGTAGGGGTCATAGGATGTATAACTTTTCTCATACGTGATAGTTGGAAGAGCAGTTGCTCAAGTGTTGCTTTCCTACACATTGCACTCCTAGAGCAATATCCTGGCTGCTTTTCATGTGTGCAGGACTTGCATATGACATAACCCCAACCATTGGCCATGAGGGGTCATTTTTCATGTAACCCTAGTTATATGTGACTGTGGAGATGCATTTCAAAGATATGTTTTGAAGTGCAGCCATTTTTGGGGGTGGCTATGGGGGAGAAGGGGGGCATCCTCAGGCTGGCTGGATGGGTGGGGTGCTCGTGCAGTATTGCTAACTGACTGCCCACTTGTTGCAAATGCTGTGTTCTGTCCCTACTCCACACTACTGTTGCAAGGTGAGTGGGTATTTGACTGCCATCAAAACACCAGCATCTACTATGCAATCACACCCACTGCCGAAACCCGGGATCGAACCAGGGACCTTTAGATCTTCAGTCTAACGCTCTCCCAACTGAGCTATTTCGGCACATGCTACAAGGACTCGAGGTACATGTTTCGTTGTACATGACCGATCGGACGGAGTACTCGTGCGGGCAGTATTCTAACTTTAGCAAAACTCCTTTGGTGCTCATCCTCATTAGTATAGTGATGAGTATCCCTGTGTATCACACAGGAGACTGGGATTTGATTCCCTGGTAGGAAGAGACTTTTTTATGTTACGAAATGTAACATACTACCACCAAAAAGCCTTGGCCAGTACGGGGGTCGAACCCGCGACCTTGGCGTTATTAGCACCACGCTCTAACCAGCTGAGCTAACCGACCAATGTAATGCCTTTCATGTGCAGTTGGCTGCAACAAAAACAGGGAATCATGTACCCAAGAGCAGAGAGCAACGGAGCCACATGGCATCAACCCCAAGGAAGAGGGTGAGGTGAAGGGTGGGGCACTTTCATGTGTTACTTCTGCTCTCCCCAAACAGGAGGAGAGGGATCTGCTTGTTCCTCCCAAGAGTGTGATGGAGGGCAGACTGCAGAATTCTGAATTTCTGCGCAGTCTTGAGGTGCACTTGACCCATTTGTCAAATTCTGAAAGAGCCAACATTGTTAAACTTATTCATTCACACCTGTCCCTGTTTTTGATGTGCCTACCCATACTCACCTTATAGAGCATGACATTGATGAGGGTGATTTCTCCCCAAATCAAGCAACACCCTTATAAACCCAGTGAAACATTCACAGATAAAGAGAGAGTTGGATTACATGCTAAAGAATGGCATCGCTGAGCCCAATTCAATCAATTGGAACACACCTTGCCTGCTAGTGAACAAGTATGCCGGCACATTCCCTTTTTGTACAGATTACTGGAAGGTTAACGCAGTCACAAAGCCTGACTGTTTTCCTGTCCCGAGAATAGATGACTGTGTGGATCTTGTGGGGTCTGCTGTCTAAATTTGATTTGTTGAAGGGATATTGGCAAGTTCCCCTGTCTAAGTGTGCAAAGGAGATTTCCATTTTCGTTATGCCAGATAAATTCTACAGTGCACGGTCATGCCTTTCGGGATGAGAAATGCCCCTGCCACCTTCCAGAGGTTGGTTAACCTTGTTGTATCTGACCTGCCAGGTTTCAAGGCATATTTAGATGACCTGGTAATTTACAGTGCGAATTGGTCCGAGCATTGAAGACAGAAGGAAACTCTTTTCAACCACCTGCCTGCTGCCAGTTTCACTGTAAAGCTGGCAAAGTGCGAGTTTGGCCAAGCAGCTGTTACATATCAGGGTAAGGTTGTTGGCCAGGGACAAGGCTGTAACTAAATTTCCCATCCCCAAAACCCATCGCAAGTTATGGAGATTCCTGGGCATGGTAGGTTACAACCTCAATTTTTGCAAAAAATTCTCTGCAGTTGCCTCGCCATTGACAGATCTCCAGCACCAAAACTGTTTTAGTTGGACTGAGAAATGCCTACGGTCATTTGAGAATGTGAAGGCCCTGCTGGTCAGCGCACCTGTTCTCTCAGCACCCAACCTTGCGTGCCCATTTAAGCTTGCTGTAGATGCAAGTGATTGTAATGCTGGAGCCGTCCTCCTCCAGAAAGATGCTCATGGTATTGACCACCCCATGTGCTATTTTTCAAGGAAGTTTAACCAACATCAGCGGTTATACTCTATGATGGAGAGGGAACCTTTACCTCTAGTTCTCGCGTTACAGCACTTTGATGTGTATGTAAGTCCCTCTTTTCGCCCCATTGTGGTGCTGCAAGATCATAATCCACTTGTTTTTCTTAATCGCATGTGTAACAATAATCAGCGTCTCATGCGATGGAGCTTGTTTTTACAGGGTTATGATGCAGACATTCAGCACATCCATGTACGTGATAATGATGTTGCTGATGCCTTGTCTCTGACGTACGAATGTCATTCCACCCAGGCTGTGATGGAGATGAGCATGTGGAAAGGGTGGTGAGCAAACCAGGACCAAAAACATGATTTTTGTCATGCAAAGTGAATTCACCATGATGAACATGCCATTAATCTCGTATCTTAACAGAAATAAATGTTTGGGACTTCATTGCATACTCACTGTTCCTCACTGTGTTAGCTACAAATTGAGGTCATAAACGTAGCACAGAAGTGAGTTAGCATAAGTGCATTAAGAACTTTTATGAAACGGAGGTAAAATGTGCCACCAGTGTTGGGGCAAATTGAGCAAGCACTCCATATTCCACTCTCCAAGACTGCATGGGAAGAGAAACTGATTTTCTCGTCTTGCTGCTCCACCAACTATGAGAGGATTTGCAAGTTTTTCTCAATGTCTTTTCTTGGAAACAAATACAATGACAGAAAAATCCCTTGGAATTTGATGATGGTCATTTTTCATGTAACCCTAGTTACATGTGACTGTGGAGATGAGTTTCAAAGATATGTTTTGAAGTGCAGCCTTTTGTGGGTGTGGTTATGGGGGCATCCTTGGGCTGGCTGGATGAGTGGAGTGCTCCTGCCGTATTGCTAACTGACTACCCGATTCTTGCAAATGATGTGTTCTGTTGTCAAGAGCTACTCCTCCAGGGGTTGATGGCAAAGTGCTTTGCAAGGTTAGTGGGCATTTGACTGCTATCAAAAAATCAGCATCTGCCATGTAATTACATTGCTGCTGAAACCCAGGATCGAACCAGGGACCTTAAGAGCTTCAGTATAACTCTCCCAACTGTGCTGCCCAGCCTGGAGGTACATGCTAACTCGTATGTGTATGATCGGACAGAGTACTCGTGTGGGCAGTATTCTACCTTTAGCAAGTCTTACAAGGACCTCATTCTCTTTAGTATAGTGGTGAGTATCCCTGTCTATCATGCAGGAGATTGGGGTTGAATTCCCTGGTGGGGAGAGACTTGCCCTTTTTTTACGTTACAAAATGTAACGCGCTACCACCAAAACTAACTGGCCCGTACGGGGATCGAACCCGCGACCTTGGCGTTATTAGCACCACGCTCTAACCAACTGAGCTAACCGGCCAGCCCACTACCTCCCAAGCAGAGAGAGCAATGGAGCCACATGGCGTCAAAAAACCAGGCAGTAGAAGAGCAAATGTCCCATCATAATTTGAACTGAGATCACAGGATTCAGAGGCCAGAGAGCTAACATTACACCATGGAACCTACAGGGTGATGACCATAGGGGGGCCAATACCCAAAAAGTGCTCTCCCATCCTGCTGCTTCTTAGAAGGTTGTGCAGAGATCCAAGGGACGGAGCGAAGCCAAGACAGGCAGTGGGGAATTAGCTCAAATGGTAGAGCGCTCGCTTAGCATGCGAGAGGTAGCGGGATAGATGCCCGCATTCTCCAGAAGGGCCTTAGCAAGGTCAGTTTTTCCCACACTCCACCAGCAGGGTGGCCACTCGGTCCCCCCACACAATGAAAGGTAAGTTAAATAAATTGCTCCTGAAATTTGATTGGTTGATTGCCACTATCGTTTTTGAGCTATCAACTTGTTCTTGTAATATTTATTAAGACCTTTGACCAAGACACAGCGTGGAAAATATGACTATTATTGGGCTTTTGGTGAAGGAGTTTGTTTGCTATAGTGTCTCCCATCGACGTATTTAAACCAAATTTTGTAAACTTAACCCTCATGTCTCATAGATATCAATTCTTAATTTTTGTGGTAACTGGACATTGCGCTCAGGACTTAGAGCTCACTATATCAGTTGAGGCCCTGCCCACAAAATTCTTGGCTTACTGCAGCCATATTTTTTTTAACAAAGCATCTTTGTTTGCATACTTTTTAAAGATATTGGTCCAAAGATATAGTGTACATGCAAATTGAACACATTGTCTAGGATGAGATAAATTTTTATGCTTTTACAAAAAAATTATAAAAAATCAAATGGTGGAAAATCCAACATGGAGAATCCATTTGGTCCAAGGGGCATTTTTGCTACAGAAGCACAAAAGGAGAACAGTTTGTGAGAAAATTTGTTTGTTAGAGATGCTCTCAAAAAATAGCTACAATACAGTGAGGATGAAAAGCTAAATGGTATGAGACTGGAAGATTCTCAAGTATTTTAACTGCCTATCTTGAGAAAATGTACTTTGCACAGTCAATGTGACTTCCATTTGAGATAAGCTGCAAAACAGTTTTGCTACTGGCCACCATATAGCCATTTTACACACTCAGCTAGAGTCGTTGATTACACAGTAATAAAGTAATTATTATGACATATTCAATTTCATATTATATTGTATAATCTATTATTCAAACACACACACATAAACAGTGGTCAATACATTTTGTTATGATAGTTTAGCTAAAGCTAAAATGAGGTCATTTAGAGGCTGTATTTATATTCATTTGTTTCTGAATATTTCCTCAAATGGTGAGTCCAGCAAGCAGAGCAATTATATGTAATGTAAGTGTAATTGACATTCATTGTTTGCTGCATAAAAAGCCTGGCCGTGTATGAGAGGTGTGATTGGGGTACATATCTCCAGAATCAGGCAAAGTTATGTGCCTGATACCGTTGCAGTGCTGGAGTGAGGGAGCGGAAGAGGTGGTTGAAGGGGAAAAATAAGATAGACTACATTTTCGAGTATTGGGACACAGCCTTTGGACAGGAGGTGAGAAGTGAAAAGTATTGAAACGCACCCCTCTTTTCCCATTTGTACGTTGCTCTGACGTTGCCCTGACTATCTTCTGATTGGATAAACTTGAACAGGGCAATGACATGACTGCATGACGCGACCTGCAGAATACAGAGCATGACAAATAAACAACCGGGCCTAATGAAAAACAATCACACCACAACAAAATAATATTTGGCCGAAGGTAATCAGTTTAGCAAACGGCTTTCAGTCATTATAAGACAACGAAATTCTGGAGCGCTACGCATCATACATGTCTTCGGATTTGTCATAGGTGGCTGTTTATGTTGCTGGCTAGGCAGTAAGCTAACCTGTTATATTATGTGTTTAGCTTTTTTTGCAGAATCTGAATGCAACCGAGCGACTTTACCACTTCTAGTTGTTACTTGCTTGATAAGATACCTAGTGTTATTTTTGCAAAAAGTAACAGAGCAATTGCCGTCCGCATCATATTCAGAGAAATATTTATCGTTAGGATAGCTGGCTAGTTAGCCAGGTCAGCAAGCATGCACAATGTCGCGCACTCGGACTTCTCTGATCTCCTTAGACATATAGCTTTGCTGAGATAGTTGCCAGCTTGTGGCAGAAACGTATGCACTTACGAAAAAACTGTATTTTGAAATATTTAAGTTATCCGTGTTATTGCTAGTTGTAGGAAGTTGATTCTGTTGCTATAAATGTTATCCTACGAGATAGCTGGTCCACTACTTAACATTGCTCGTGAATACCTATTCAACAGTTAAACTGTCTGTCTGTTTTGAAGTTTAGAGTTAATTAATATTAGGTTACAATAGCTAAAAAAAAATAATGTTCATGAGCTGTATACCTCATTCAATACGTAGTTGTATCTGCCTTAGGGCTGCTGCTTATGGTCGTCTGGGACCAGGGTGTTAATCGGGCTGACAGCGAGAGTCTGAAAGATGACGACGGAGACCCACGTTAAAGATATTAAACCCGGACTGAAGAATCTCAACGTTATTTTCATCGTGCTAGAGACAGGTACGCTGTTTTACACCAACTTTCAACAAGTTCAAATGGATTAAGGTAGGATCAATAACACTGCTAATCTTAAATTATACTGACAAACCAAAGGTGGTTTGCGTTTCTCAAGGTATTGCAGGCAATTCATATTTTAACGTCAAGTTACAATATTGTATTTGGATATTAATTTACCAGGTCGTATTTCGATTTTTGGATCTGCCATTGCAAATTATAGTATTATAGTACATCTTCCCATTAGAACCAGGCAATATAAAAATCTCAATCTAAGCCTAAATGCACCCAGGTGGCAATGGCCATATCCTGGCTCAGTGTTGGTGGTGTAAAGTTTGATTAAACCAAAAATGGGAGGAGCTATCCTGCAGTGTGAGTGATTCAATGATCTGGACCAATGGCCACATAGTCTTAGGACAGAATATATCTTTTTTCATTGGTTAAACAAGTCACATTGACAATTTAGTGTAGCTCCACCCATAGGGGAGGTTCATGAAACTTAATTTCAGCCATCACTATCCTGGTTTGTTTTCACAAACATGGGTAACAAAGGTGAAATTGTGTGTGTTTGTCAATCAGCATGTCAAATGGTCCTTTGGAGAAACAATAATGCTGGTGCCATGTAGTTAGTCCCAGGGTGGCTAATAGCAATTAGAGCACTGTCCCCATCATTAAAGTTAGCGTCCTTGCTAGACAGCATTGGCATTCTCATTTTAAATATTGCACACTGGGCTGTAGCGTTGAAGGTGCCCTGGGGGAAGCAGGCTGTGGTCCCAGGTTCGGAACCAGTATATTCAGGAGCTGCGAAGCAGCAACTGTGGTGAGCTGAAGCTGGAGAGAAGTGACCTCTCAGCTTGGTGTTTTGCTCAGCTGAATCCATTGAGGGCTGATGTTGGGGTCCTCTTGCTGCCCTGTCAGGTCTTAGTCTGGCCTCATGTTGCTGAGCACTGACCCCACAGACTGATGCTGCTTGGTTTCAGCACTGTTTGAGTTGTGTTGACTTGTCAGGCCATGCACATGGGTGGTGACGAGGCCATCTTGGAGATGGTCAGACGCAGGCTGGCACCAACGGAGCAGCTGACCCTTTTTCTGTCAGTGTGTGCAGCTAGGGAGCAATGTACCCTTGAAGTGACGCACAGCGATGACTCTCGGGTGAGACTCTGTTTACGATGACGGGATAGGCCTCTTCTTCACCACCCTCCACCTTTCCTACAGCTGTCATGACTCTGTGTTTCCCCGCAGTGTGACCCAGAAACATGGGGTTGTTTTTGCACAAGTTCCCAGTTGGCTGGGTAGGCTTGTTCGATAGGTGGGGCTGGCTGAGCTGCACTGGAGAGACTGGTGCAGGTCTGTGACTTGACAGGGCTGTGTCATATTTGGGGCATGGTTCAGGATGACATGTACATAGATATGGGGTGGATTGTCATGTATGACCTTTTCCATCATGTGATGGCATTTATTATGTCTGTCCACCGCTGACTTTTTTGGATTTAAAAAGTGGCTAATTTGAAAGTTTGCAATGACTTTAATTGGCTGGTGGTTCTGGTTAGCCATGCTAGCATTATTCAGTTCATTGGGAACAGTAATGTTTGCCAGCTAAGTTAGCATTGGCTACAGAAAACTTGTGGTATGGGTTTTTGGCTTATCAGTTAATTGCACTTTTCAAATGTCATATTGATCATATGAATGAAGCTCTAATTCAAACCTTACAGCCTTATACTACTCATCTTACCGTAAATATTTCAATCAGGGACTGCAGAGGAGATCTCCACGCTGATAGATACTTTCTGTAAATTTATTTTTACCATTTTAAAAATATTTAGTCCTTAGAAAGAAATGACAAACACGAGTTTTGAGTTTGTTGTAAGCTTAATTATATGGGCCAAGCAGCTGGGTATTTCCAAGGTAAAAATAAATATAATACAAGCACAACAAAAACAAAGAAACTTCACCAAATGTTACCAGCACTGTCCTGTCATTGTCCTGTCAGCCAGTGTCGTTCTTTCAAAACTTTGGCGGATGTGTTCTCCATCCTTGCGAACTCGCAAGACCGTTCTGCTCAAGAACAGTTGACAAGTACGATCTTCTCAAGAGCACAATTCCATTCTTGTGTTCTTGGTATTGAGAAACGCCCACGGTTTAGTGCATTGCTGCCTCCCAGTGGTGTTGTTACGTCATTGCTACTTTAGATCTGTGAGGGCTGTCCCGGTCAGCAAGGTATAGTCAAAATCCATACCGTAGGGCAAATTCATAC